CCTCAGGGGTCCCATGGGCTTGGGAGGAGCCCCTGGCTCCTTTCTTTTACCAGCTCCATCCATGTGAGGATAAGTCAAAGGTCCTGCTGGCTTGCATTTTCTTTTTAAAATCCTAATCTGTCTTTTATCTTGTTGAAATATACTTAGTTTCTTGTCCATTGAGGATTCTCCTTTTGTCTGTTGGTTGCGTGGTGGATTTTCTTACTGTATATTATCTTCCATTCAAATGACTTGGGGATACAAGGGAGGCCTGCAATTTGTGTTCAGTCTAACTTCTTAAGCCACATGTCTATGGAAGGTTTTCTCCAGCAGTAAATGTGTAATGCTTTGTCACCATTAACGACCTTCATTCGAAAGTAGAATGATCGCATGTGAAATTGTTTAATAGGTTGTTGAAAATTTAACAGCAAAGCACTCTGCTGGGAAGGGCACTTATAGCCAGGTTTTCAAAGTCTGCCTTTCAGTTTTGTCCTAGGTGCTGTCTCTCCAGCTGTTGTTGTCCCTTCCATGCTACTGCTTCAGGAAAATGGGTACGGTATCGTCAAAGGCATTCCCACCTTACTGGTGGCCGCTAGCAGTCTGGACGACATCGTGGCCATCACTGGATTCAACACATTCTTGAGCCTAGTCTTTTCTTCACGTAAGTAAGAAAAGGTCATTAATGACCTTTAGTCATGGTTTTTAAGCTGGGTTTGTGGCATTATTTCTACATGTATTAACCAAGACTTTAACTTAACTTCTTTTTATTCTGCATGGAAAGCTCATTCTCAACCAGATAAGATTCATAAGTGGATATTTTTGTCTTTTTTTGAGACAGGGTCTCCCTGTAGCCCCAGATGGCCTGGAACACACTATGTAGACCAGGCTGGCCTTGAACTCACAGAGATCTACCTGCCTCTGCCTCCCAAGTGCTGGAACTAAAGGTGTGTGCCACCACACCGACATAAATGGATTTTTTTTAAAGAAAAAATAAAGTGAACCAACAACCCCAAGTACTTAACAAATTATTTCATTTTAATAGTGAAATGTTTTGATTAATTTGATTATTCATATCCTTGCCATTGATCTGTTCATGGTGTTATACAATTTTCATCACAATTTTAACTAAGAAAGTTTTGTAAGTACCAGTATTATTAATATTAATATATTAACTAGGGGTTTTTTATATGTATGTTTTTGCCCATCCTAACAGCTGGTTGCTCTTTGTTAAGACCGTTCGAACATATAAAGCTGAAACCGGGCATGGTAAGACATGGCTTTAATTTGAGCAGTCAGGAGGCTCAGAGAAGCAGGCAAATCTCTGTGAGATTAAGACCAGCCTTGTCTACATAGAGAGTTGCAGCCCAACTGGGGCTATGGGAGACCGTTTCAAAACACACAAAAAAGGGCTGCACAGATGGCTCTTGCAAAAAAACCCAGGTTCAATTCCCAGCACCCACATAGCGGTTAACAATTCCAGTTCCAGGAAAAGCTGATGCCTTCTTCTGACCTCTGCAGGCATTGCCACGCCCACCAGAATGAAAAGACAGTGCTTGGAATTAGAGAAAGTAATTGCAAACCACGTTATTTCATGGGGGGTGGGGTCAAGAATGGACCTGCAGCTCCATAACAAGAAAATGCCTCAGATAAAAATGAATAAGGCCTTTTGCTATAGTCTGAACAATTATGCATCTACAGAATTCAAATGCTGAAGACAGTTCCCAGTGTGCTGAGTTTGGCCTATCCTATACGGAATGATTAGGTTATACAGGCAGTGTCCTCATGAATGCCATTAGGGCCCTTCAAAAGGTATATTGTGGCTCTGCCACAGAGAAAGTGTCAGCTATGACACTTTGACAAGTGTCACTTTGACACTATGACAACTATGAGGAAAGACCCTCCCCAGACACTAAAGCTATTGGCACTATGACCTTTGACTTATCTCCAGAATCGTGAGTAGTAAATTTAGGTTGTTTATAAATTACTAGTGTTCCAGGAGTGAGACTTACACTTGAAGAAAGATACACAAATGGCTAACAAGTACGTGAAAAATGTGCAACATCTGTAATCATTAGGAAAATACAAATCAGTAGTGGAATACTAGGGCCTCTCCCTTGAGGAGCCCATATCCACACTTGGGTGTGTCTGATGTCTGTGACTCTTCGAAAAGCCCACACCATGCTCTTGGGTGTGTCTCTCTTTCTTCTGAGTGCCTCCCTATTTACCCTCCCTCCTACCCTAATGAAGGCTTAAGCCTACATTAAAAGATTTTTGTTAAATATCAACAACATTTCATAAGATAGAACAAAATGCACATATATTAGGATCACCAATATCTGGCTATTTGAGGTCCTTCAACATTCCGTATGAATTTTAGGATTTTCTTTTCTATTTCTTTAAAAAAAAAAAAAAGAAAGAAAGAAAAAAAACAAAAATAAAAATTCTAACAGAATTGTTTTTATAGGAACTGCATTGAATCTATAGGTTGCTTTGGATAGTATGGACGTGTTAATGATATTGAGTCTTACAATCATACACAAACATATTTTCCATTTTTGTGTCTGTAATTTCAGCAATGTTTTGTAATTATCAGTACAAGCTCTTCACCTTCTTAATATCTATTCCTACTTTATTTCTTTTTATGCTATTGAAAATGGGATTGTTAGTTTTCTGATTTTTCATCATTAGTATATGAAACAAATGATATTTTAGTTTTGATTTCATAACAATTTTGCTGATTTTTTTATTGTAACAGGTTGTGTGTTGGTGGCTGAGGGAATAATGTTAGGGTTCTCTCTCACTGTCTGTATGTATGTATGTGGTGTGTTTGTGTTTGTGTCGTGTGTGTATGTGTATGTCTGTGTACGTGTGGGAGTGACGGAGCAAAGCATCCCACAGCACACATGTGCAGGTCAAAGAGCTTCCTCAGAAGTTGGTCCTCACCATCCATCTTGTCTTGAAACATGACCTCTTGTTGTTTACTACTGTGTCACCAAGCTATTGGCCTGTAAGCTCCCAACAGTTCTCCTGTATCTGCCTCCCATCTCCCTGTAGGAGTGCACTGGGGTTACAGACTTGCACTATTATGTCTAACTTTTTAAGTGGGTTCTGGGAACCAAGCTCAGGTCATCTGGTTTGCGTAGCAAACACTGCCCATTGAACCATGTCTCTAGCCTCAGAGGTTAAGGTTTTCTACATATAAGATCATACCACTTATAAAAAGATATTTTATTTTTTCCTTTTCCAATTAAATGCCCATTAATTTTTTTCTTGTCTAACTTCTTTATCTAGGACTTCTAGTATCTTGAGAATAGAATTGGACAAAACAGCAACATTGCCTTATTCCAATTTCAAAGAGAAAGTTTTCTATTTTCACTAGTCAATGTGAACTATGTGCACTTTCTATATAGGCTTTATTATGAGGAGATAAATTGTTTCTATTCTGAGATAATGGGGTGATTTTTATCATGGAAGGTTGTTGGACCTTTTCTGCCTCAAATAAGGTTATCATGGGATTTTTGTCCTTTCTTTTTTTAATGTACTATATTACAATGAAAGGTTTTTGTATGTTGAACCCATATAAAAACCATTTTGTATCCCTTTCCATTCCAGGTTGAAATATAAGTTGCTCATGATCCATCCCATCAATGTACTATTTAATCCAGTTTGTTCATACTGTATTGAAAATTCTTGCATATTTATCAAGGATATTGGTCTGTAGTTTTCTTATAGTATCTTTGACTTTGGCATCAAGATAGTGCTGGCCTTATAAAATGAGTTTGGGGAAGTTTTCCCTCCTCTTCAGCTTTTTCCCTGAAGAATTTGGAAAACGATGTGTTTGTGTATATATTCAGTAGAATTTGGAAAGCTCTCTGATTCTGGAACAGGTATATGACCTCTCTCTGTTTCGGCAGCACTTGGGTACCCAAAGTATGCAGGTTAGGAGCAGGTGACCTAGTGGTCAATGCTTCAGGCAACCGCCAAAATTGTTCCATTCTTCTCTTGCCTCTCAATGGAGAAACACATTGGGTATGTCCCCCAGCTGTGCCAACCTGTGTCAGTTTGGGGAAGGGCCACCAGGGGCATACTACAAAAGCTACTCCTGTTTCCATGCTATTGTTCTTGACTTTCCACTTGTCTAGATTACCACAACTTCTTAATTGGCTTATGAGTTCCATGAAAGCTTTTAGGCTTTTAGGCTTAGTCAGTGTGTCTGTGGGGTTTAGCACTCCCTGTCCCAGCATCTTGCTGATACCACACTCTTATTTTTCTACTATTTTATTTTTTATTTTTATTTTATGTTCATGAAGTTTTGCCTGCATGTAAATGCACCAGTGTGGGTAATGTCTGCAGAGTCCAGAAGAGGGTGCCAAATCCCCTGGAACCGGAGTTTAACTCAGCTATTTTAGCCAGCTTGATACTCAATAGTGAAACTGAGCTATTTTTAAATTAAGGATCAAGTTTTTTGTTTGATTTTTTTACGTACTACTGTGAACCTGGATATACAGTATTTATGCTTATGAAATATACTGCAAACTCAATTGATTCCTGTCTGTTTCTAGGATTGGTCCTAGAATAAAATTATTATTACGTAATTGTTGTGTTGGGTTTTTTTGTTGTTGTTGTTTCTCATTATTTATGACAAAAATTCCCAAATTTCCTCTGGTCAGAGATTCTTTGAAACGATGCCCTGTACCTTTGCCTGTCGAAGAATAGAATCATTTGATTTCCCCATCCTGCCAATGGCCCTGCAGATAGCATTAGGTTTTAAACTGGCCATTAAACCTGCCAGTACCTTGTCAACCTCAGCCACATTCATCTGAATGGATGCATGGTCCTGCACACCGATGATGCAGTTCAGCATCGTTCTGCCTATCTAGGCCACGCCTGTGAAATCATCCAGCAAAGCCATGAGATGAACTAGACAGACCCACCGAGGCCACGGACCCCGGCATGGTCCAGCAAACACGCCCTCCTCACAGCCCACCTCTAAGTTGTTCTTCTTACATTTAAATTGTTTATTTCACATCATAGCATATTAAAGAAGAATTACTGACATGGCCCTTACCAGCCATGTGTCAAGGCCACAGGGGCTCTCTTGGCAGTTGCTCTCCGTTTTCCTCCCTCACTTGGTCTGGTAGGTTGTCTGTGTAAAGAGAGCGCATTGTGGCCTCTTCTTTGTTTTCTGACACATTTATACAATGGAAATTGAGTTACACATTTATAGTAATTATTTGGAAGTATGCATTTAAGTTCAAGTAGATCTAAATACATTTTCACACATGTCACTATTGAAGGTACAATTTTGTAATTTGTATTATAATATACTTTTATTCTTGAACCTCATATATTTTATTTTCTAGTGTATAGATGAAAATATTTCTCTGTGAAAACATTCTCTTATTTTGCACCCTTATAGGTGGTATACTTCATAATATCCTATCATCTTTGCAAGATGTAATTATTGGTTTGCTGGTAGGAACTATCATGGGATTTTTTATTCAATATTTTCCAAGTAATGATCAGGTAAATAAAAAATAATAATCTGGTTTGTAGAACTTTAGTGTATTAACTAACTTTCATTCACTATAATGACCTGGGATTAACCAACTTTCACTCACCATAATGACCTGGGATGCTTAACCTGTAAAAGGTTCATTTGGCTTATAGTTTTGGAGGCTTCAGTCTCTGACTGACTGAACTTGTCATTCTGGCAGTGTATCATTGCAGGAGTGAGTGCAGAGCAAAACCAATTATATCACAAGTCCTGGAGCAAAAGAAAGGGCCTGGGACCCACCCGTAGTCTGCTTTAGGAGCATGTTTCCAGTGACTTAAAGACCTCCCATGATGTTGGGCATGGTGGCACAGGCCTTTAATCCCAGCACTCAGGAGGCAGAGGCAGGCAGATCTCTGTGAGTTCGAGGCCAGCCTGGTCTACATAGTGAGTTCCAGGCCAGCTGGGGCTACAGGAACACCCTATCTCAAAAAAAAAAACAAAAAAAAAACCACTTTCCATGAGGCCCCCTGGTCCAGATTCCACCAGCTCCCAATAACACCCTCATAATGATGAAGTTTCTAACACAAGGGCTTTTGAGACATTCAACATCCAAACCATAGCATGTATGTAATATCAGAGATTTCCTTCTAAGATTTGAACTTTAGAAATGTGAACTATTAAATTTCATGCCTAACACTCTTTCCCCAAAAGTTGCTTCTATTGTCCACTCTGTGCCTAACCAGCATTATATAATCGTGATCGATTCCAGTCAGTAATCTTGGTTGATGTCACTGTTTCCTGATTTAGCTAATAAAAATCTCAGAAAAATATATGTAACCCAAAGTATCCTTCTTCCTTCTGCTTCACCTCTCTCCACTAAATTATCTATTAATGATTTTTTCCTAATCATTTCCCCCAAAACTTACCCTTAAACATCTTTGAAATAGAGATGTGCTCCCATTTATATTTCCATATTTTCTCTCTTAAATTTGTCCCCATTCCTTTGACAAAGGGTCTTTAGACCTGTTTGTTGTTGTTTTTCTTTTTGGCTTGAGAAAAAGTCTCACTATTTAGCTGAGCCTGGCCTTGAACTCAGAGTTGTCAGCTGTCATTCTGCCTCACTTTGTATTTTGGTAACTTGCATCCAATTTACATGTAACAATTATCTTAAAAAAGAAATCTTCTAATTTTTATTTTTAATTCATTGTAGGATGGAATATTTTCTTCAATTTCAGTTAAAGGATTGGAACCATTTTATTGTGTCAGAGATGTAGCAGACAGTGAAAGTTTGATATTGATACAATTATTACTTGGTGCTGTATCTGCCAAAATTTTTTATGAGGAATAATTTCAACATTTTAGAGACTATTTAACATTTAGAAATATTGTAATAAAAAGTTAGAAAAAGATAGATAATTCGAAATCTATGTTTACTGTAAAACAACTTTTAATATCCAATTTCTAGGAAAGACTTACACTTAGGCGAGCATTCCTTGTTTTGAGTGTGTGTATTTCTGCTGTCTTGGGCAGCCAGAAAATTGGCTTACACGGATCTGGAGGATTAGTTACACTAGTGCTATCATTCATGGCAGCCAAAAAATGGCCTAAAGAGAAGGTAAATGTTTTTAATATGTTGTTTTAAGTTTAAGAGAAATATTTTGATTCGAGAATTTCATACAATGAATCTTGATTACATTCAGACCTCCTCCCCATCTTTATCCTCACCCCCCACCCCCCACCC